GAAGCGTAAAAGCAGCAAGAGAAAGAAACTCAGTTACCTACGAGGGAATACCCATACGACTGTAAGCTGATTTCTCAACAGAAACTTTGCATGACAGAAGGGAGCGGCAAGAAATGTTCAAAGTGATGAATACCAAGAACCTACAACCAAGATTACTTTATCCAGCAAAGCTATCATTCACAATTAAAGGTCAGATAAAGGGCTTCACAGATATGGAAAAGCTAAAGGAGTTCATCACCACCAAACCAGAATTATATGAAATGCTGAAAGATATTCTTTCAGAAGAGGAAGAAGAAAAAGGTAAAGATACAAATCATGAACAACAAAAAATACATATCTATCAAGTGAATCTAAAAAATCAAGTGAATAAAAAATCTGATGAACAGAATAAACTGGTGAATATAATAGAATCAGGGGCATAGAAAGGGAAGGGACTGACAATTCTTGGGGGCAGGGGGTGTGGGAGGTGCGGGAAGAGACTGGACAAAAATCTTACACCTATGGATGAGGTCAGTTGGAGGGTAAGGGCATGGAGTGGGGTAGGAATTGGGTGGAAGGAAGCTATGCAGGGGGGGAGGAGGGAGAAGAACTGTAATAATCTGAACAATAAAGATTTATTAATAAAACAAAGAAAGACTTCCTTTATTAAATGCAGCCATGCTTACAAAATGTTGATGCATTTTAAAAAGTGATGGTGATCAATACTCACATTAAAGTTAGTATGCATAATTATAACAATAAAAATAAATATCTTAACAACTTTACTTCCCCCTTGCACATGCAGCTCTGTGTAAAATTGGAGTCTGCAAAGTGTCTTCCCCATCTGTACTTCTCCTTTTTGCTTCATAATGGTAATAATATTCTTTCCCCTTAGGCTCCTAGGTCCCATCTACCTCCTGTGTCATATCCTGTTATTAAAAGATGGAAAGTAGTTGATGAAGATTGGATATGCTCTTCTCAATGCCTCCAGCTTCTTATAATACTCTACTTCCTTATTTTAAGTTTCGCAGAGTCCTCTTTCTAAAATTTCCCTTCATTTCATTGTCAAACAGGAAATGATAGCAATAGAGCCATTTACATGTGATGAGTCTTGACGATTTACATGTTAATATGAAAACATTTCTGTCAGCATGTTCCTCCAGACGGGATTTGCTTGTTAATTTTTTTTTTCTCAAATGGTGATATTGTTATTTCTATTTTAGGAATTAGGCTTGCTTCCAGCAAGTAAAGAAATTTGTGATTTATGTTGTTCAGGAATATTCTGAAGTCATAGTGAAGCATGTGGCAGAAAACAGATCTATTAAAATAAAATTCTATAAGTAGCCTGCTCATTTGATTTGGTCTTCTCTGGACACCCAAATATTGACCCTAATAGTCAGGGGTAGTACAGTCCCTTCAGTTACTGAAAAGAAATTATTTACCTGAGACTATGAAAATAGGAAAACAAATATTTATTAACCATCTGGGTACCCAATAAAAGCCTAAAAATGCATAGGGACCTGGCCAGCCTCTTACTGGTTTATTCTTCTATTGGAGTCTATGAATCTCCTTTGAAGTCACCTACTATACTTTACCAATGGGTCCAATTACTTGCTTCCTGTGTCAATTTTTTCAAAACTTGTTGCAGATTATTCTCAGTCTCTGTTAAAGTGGTTGTCAAGTATTACTTTAATCTAATTTCTTTACTAGTTTTTTGGGATGTCATCTTCTTTCATTCTCTTCCATCATTCCTAAAATCCAATTTTCCTCTATAGGCATCTTCTGACCAGAATTTAAACATACTGTTCATCTTAAAAGTATAAAACAAACACTTATTTAGATCCCAATGTCTTCCTTCAGCTAACAGCCTATCCCTCTCCATCCATTTACCTCTTCGGAAACAAACTTCCTACAATTCTTTTTGTTTATTTATTCTTCTCCCTATAGTTCATTTCAAAACCCATCACAATTTGACTTCAACCCCACCAATTCCCCAAACTGCTTTTGTTGTGATCATAAAATTGACTTGATATTAAAACTAAGTGACTTTTCAATATTGACCTTTGCTACATTCAATTCTGTTAACTTCATGTTCCATCTTGGAAGACATTCTTCTCTTGCTTCTGAAAAAAACCACTGTCTTCTGGTTTCTAGCTATCATTCTGTTTTCTCTTATTTAATTGTTTTTGAGAATTCTCCTCCATTTCCTCCTCCTCCTTCTTTTTCCCTCCTCCTTCCCCCCGCCCCCCCTCCTCCTCTTCTCTTCTTCCTCCTCCTTGTGCTAACTTTCTATAAAGTGCTGGTGTTCTTAAGGATTCCATCTTAGGCCCTCATCTTTTCTTCCTCTACTTATAGTCAGTAATCTCATCCACACTTATGACTTTCATCTCAACACATAAACTGATGACTAAATTGCTTTATCTCCCTTCCTGTTATTTTCCTGAGCTTCATTCATGAGTAGCTTTATACAATGGCCCACTCAATACTTCTGGATTTCCTGCAAGCACAGGAAACTCAACATAGAGAAAAGCCAAGATCCTTATCTACACTAATAAAAGAGAAAAATGGTAATTGGCGTACGACGCTACCCTTTTCATTGGCTAATCAGGGCTATATGCAAATTAACTGCCAACAAGATGGCGGTTAATTTGCATATGTAGGCACAATGCAGGGAGGCGAAAGGGAAAGCAGGAAGAAGCCCCC